ACTGAAATCACCCCCAGCAGGCACAACAGAGCCCATCCCTACGCTCCTGCTGCTTGAGACAGACGGACTGAGACAACAGCATGCACCCGCCTGTATTTAGGTCCTATTTCATTAAGGGTCTTAGTCTGGGAAAGAGATTAGAGCCGCACGTCTAATTTCCACTAATGCCGAGATCCCCTAATGCTTTAAAGGAGCAAGATCAGACTCCGGAGGACATCAAGATCGTGCCTGGGTCTGGGGTGAAAGGAAGGAAGCAGCCAGCACCTCCACGCGATCTGCTCGTGTCACCCACACAGCCCTCACACACCTGAGCCCAGGTCCGATCAGATTGCGGTCACTTGAAGAAAAGAGCTGTGAGAAATGGGGCTGAATGCTCACAGGTGGGTTCGGCTGAGAAGTTTGGGAAGTCAAGGAACGAGTCTGCAAAATGTCCAGTTCTCTACATCACATTCACCATGATGCAGGGGAAACAAGCCCCCCAAAATGGAAATGTCAGGATGGCAACGACAAAAAGCTTCCTATCATTGTTGTTGTTGTATTGTTACCACTACCACTACTACTACTACTATTTGGAGGAGCACAAGCCCGTCCTGTGCTGAGCACAGGGAGTCACCTACCTGTGCGGCATGCCGGTGGTGTAGGCGACGGTGTGCTCGTGTGAGAGCTCGCAGATGCGCAGGTACCAGCTCATCTCCAGCTCCCGCAGCAGCGCCAGCCTCCGTGCCCTCTGCTGTGCCGCGGCTGGCTTCAGCCGCGGGTCCTTGGCGCTGTCAGTGCCACTCCGCGGGGCTCGGTCCCGACTCCCCAGGGACAGCACCGACTGCTTCCTCAGCTTCAGCGCTTCCTCGGCGTTCTTGTTCCCCACCGTGCCCGTGCGTGCCGCCAGCATCCTCGCGGCTCGCCCCGGGGCGAGGGGAGCGCCGAGCCGCTGCTGCCCTCAAATCGTTTAAACTGATTTCCAGCACGCGCCTTCCTCCCGCTATAACCCCACGCCGGCCACAAAGCCGTAATTAGATATGTGGCCGCAGAGCTTAACCCGAAAGAAGAGCCGCGACCTCTTCACGGAAACATCTGTACGGTGTCCTGCGTGGCAGCAGGCTGAAACGCACACCGAGGCAGCCTCGGTCTGCCAAAAGCAAGGGGGGCAGCTCTGAAAAACCACCGATGGGCTTGGGCAGGGCTGGGCGTGCAATCGGGACCTGCTCGAAGCATGGCATCTGGGTGGACAGCAGGGAAAAGTGGGCCGGCTCGCTCCAGCTTTATACCCCGACGGGCTCCAGCCTGCGTGAGCCCACGTGTGCTCGCTCTGTGGACACGCAGGCAGGCACGTGGGCAGGCCCAGCGCCGCGATGGATGTGGCCTCGGTGCCCCCACATCCACACCAGCTCATCTGGGCCAGGGCCGTGCCGGGCATGGAGCCCCCATGGCCTGCAGGACCCCCGGTGTGACGGGCTGGGGCAGGGACCCCACCGCCCGCCAGGCCAGAACAAAGCTGGGGCTCTTACCGACGTTATACCAAGATGGTTTTAGGTGTGTTTTAAGAAAGCAGCTCCGTTCCCCTGTGGAAGGAGTCCTATAAAATCACCCTTCCCCAGAAGCCTGCGTGTTGCCCGGCCTGCTCAGCAGAGGTGCCACTGAAACAGTCACACTGAGGTGTGCAGAGTTCCAGAGAAAACTCCAACTGCGGGCTGTTAAAATATCCTAGGTTTGTGCCTGTGCTAAAACATCATCTCATTAGTCACTAAACTTCATAGCACGTCCCAAGGAGAGGGCTTCCACCAACTCCAGCAGCCCTTACACCAACCCAGGCAGTGCACATGGCTTCGAGCCTTCCAGGGCTGTTCGAGTTCCCTCACCTGGGAGCTGGCTAACAAAAGCAAACTAAAGTCCTTCAACCTTTGTGTGACAGACATCGTGCTCACCCAGCCCCGTGGTTATTGTTCACTCAGCCATAGAAACACAACCACAAGGCCCCGAGCAGGTTTCAGTCACTATAGAAGCGAACTGCTCCAAAAGCAGCTGCTGGCAATTTGTTCCCTGGGCGCAGCATTGTTCCCCTCAGGGCACGCTGCTGCCAGCGTGGCCGTTCCCGTAACGTGCCACCCGGGTGGGTAACGCTATCGGGCACCGCTCCGGGGGGGCCGCACGTCCTGCCAGGTAAGGACACCCGCTCACCCCATAAAACATGCATGAGGATCGCTTGCCTGCAAGCGAAGCCGCCAGGAGCTGTTAAACATTGATGCACGGTGCTGGGCCGCTCGCTGCTGTGGGGTGTGGGCAGGCACTGCTCGGGCCTGCTGTTGTGTGCTTCTAACATGGCCTCCAAAAAGGTGTGTGTGTGAGCTGTGTGCCTGGAACTCACCGCAGGTTATAGCCAAAATCCGTACTGCAGGTGCTGAAGGTGCCTGTAGCTCCTTTCAGAGCACTTTGTAACATCCGCTTTGCTTCTATCCCAGCGGCTGTCCCCGAGCTGGGTGCGTGGCCCCAAAACACCCACAGGGCCGCTCCCCGGAGCAGTGGTAAAAAGCCCGGCTGGCTGCAAAGCACAGCTGCCCCCGCACGAGAGGACTTAATCCCCCGCTGCCGGCACTCAGCTGTATTAGATGTGCAACCCATAATGGTCTGGAGCGAAGCGAGGTCAGAGCACCCATCAACAGCAACAATGCCGAGATGTAGACCAGCCCACACCACATCCACGACCAACAAACAGCAACGCTGAGATGTAGAACAGCCCCTAAAAACCAAGCACTAAACCTCAGGGTCGACAATTTAAAGCAGAACATCCCCCTGCCTGCCATCCCCCCCACAGCACAGCACCAACCCACCGCGCTGTCCCCCGGCTCAGACACCCCTTTGGTCCACCCTAGCATTTTTCAGATTTAATAAGAGAAACATTTCTAACAGCCTCCAGTCCACGCTTTCTACTCGGAGAAGCTTCAGGTTTCCATGGTGAGTTAATACACTTCAGCCAGTTTGCATTTTAGACGTGTTTTTCTTTTCCTTTTTTGAAATCTCTCGAGCGGTTCCTTGTCAGGGCTGGCTCAGCTCGCCGTGTGCTGGCTGCCAAGCGCCTCGCCACGCCGTGCGGGGCCGTCTGTGCTCTCACCTTCCAGGGGATGCCTTGTGCCTCATTCCCACACAGGCTGCAAAGTCTGATCCATCAGCCCTCCAGCTGTGCTGACAAAATTGCTTTAAAAGCCGTCCTCTTGAAATTCTCTTAAAATTCCCCCCACCATTTCAGATTCCTCACTCTCTTCTCAATAAGCGTTCCCCTAAATTCTTCATCTCTGTGTACGCACACCCAAAATCTATTTGCACACATACAGAGCGACTGAAGCAGGACAAAGTGGCAGCACTCAGCCTGGCAGCTCCTGCTTAGAGGATTTTAGCAGGAAAAGGCGAGCTTTACACAGGTTCAGATTGAGCTGGAAAATATCTGTAAGCGATAGCTGCGTGAACGTATGGATTGCGTCCCGTAGGAGCTAAGTAATTTCCAAATGCAGGATCCAATTAGCAGCAGTCTCAGTGATAGCCTTTAGGCTAGCAGCAATCTCGCTCCACGCTATCCTCTACTTAAGGTAATTGGAACCTCATCAGGGAGAGATTCATTAGGGTGCATAATAGCCTCTAAGTGCTTCCCCCCCGCTCAGAGGGCGTTTGAGCAGCGACCCACACGCAGCAGGCTCGGGGCTCCTCGGCCTCGCAGTGTCCCTGTCCCCAGCTGCCACCAGCAGCTCGAGGACCAGCCCCCCGGGGAGCAGAGCCCGTGGGTGAATGTGCAAGGTGGCCGTGCACCCGCTGGGGTTTCCCTGCATCGTGCAGCCCCCTCTGAGCACAGGGCTGGGCTCTTCCCATCGCAGCTGAGCACGAAGCGATGAAGTGTGCTGCTTTACATGGGGCTGGCACTCGTTGCCACACCACTGCCCCATCCCACCCAGCCACAAGGTGACCGAGCTCCCCGTCTCCCCCCGCCGTGTGCTCAGCCCTCTGGCCCTGAGGGACCCACGATGAGCACAGGGTCTGGGGGAAACCAGTGGGAGTCACAGAATCACAGAATTTCTAGGTTGGAAGAGACCTCAAGATCATCGAGTCCAACCTCTGACCTAAGAGTCTCTGCACCTCTTCACAACCAAGGGTTAGGTATATCGAGGTGCTTGGGGTTTTAAAGAGAAATTTCAACACCCAGCCCACCCGAAGCTGGTCCTGATGTATTCACACATCCCTGGCCCTCTTCTGGCAGGCCCAGCGAGATGCATTGCTGCAGCAAGGCGAAGGTTGTGCTGTGAGCCCCAGCCCTGCGGGGCCAGGAGCCCCATCCCGACTCTGGGCCTGGTGGGTTGGCGCCACCGGGGCAGCACAAGCAGCAGGCCCGCTGGAGAACCACAACCTGCCCGCTCCATGCCGCGTTACCATGGCGATGGGTGCTACAGAAATGACTAAAAACACCCACCGGCTCCACACAGCACCTGGGAGCATCCTCAGCCCGAGCCCTGGCTCAGCACCTCCGAGCCTACAAGTGTTCAGCCCAGGGTCGGTGCTGGGCCCTCGTCCCCACAGCACCATACACCTGCCACGTTGATCCCAGATCAGCCCCACACGCTTTTTAGGGACAAAGTACTTCTACCCCAGCACGAAAGCACGCAGAGGGTGGCACCAGGCAGGGGACAGCCGTGTCCCTTGCCCTGCCAAGGCTGGCAGCCAGGGAGCGCGGCCCAGAAGAGAGCGGCCATTTACAGCGTAAACAAAAGCCCTAAAAAATAAAATCAGTCACGCCAAGGTTCAAACATAATATTTTTATTTGTGGATAAAAATTAAGGCTCACAGTACTTTTATCATTTCACAAGCAGAAAAATGTTAAAAATTGAGAATGACGGGGAACGCCCCCAATACAAATTCCTCTAACTGCTGACATGTTTTACTGAAGACTTGAGGTGAACAACTGTACAGGGCAGCTACGGTTATTAGTCTGTAAACTAAGTGCTAAATATAGGTGGGTTTTCTTTTTTTTTTTTAATTTTTCTTAAAAGAAAGTGAACCGAGCATCTATGTCTCTCTCCACGTCTGGCTGTCCTATACACACGGATTCCATAAAAGACCCGAGAACCGCTGGGATAACACCACCGACCTTCCTACGAACAACCCACCGCTTCCAAAACGCATGGCACAGGTGTCACCGGGGGGAAGATCACAAATTCCACTTCAGTAAGACGTTCTGTTTATAGTGCAATAGTTTATGCCTAAACATTTCAGTATTCATCCTTCTGGCTTAAAAAATAAAACAACAAAACCCCATAAAGTAGGTTCCTAAGGAGTACAGGAATTGCTGCCAAGCTCCATTTCGTTACAGACATGAAAGCAACCAACGTGGTTAGATGTGAGGTGTCTGCCCCCCCGGGTGCAGGTACTCATTACACCCCTAATTAAGGTGCAACCCAAAGGACCAAGCACACCACGAGCAGCCGACAGCGCCCAGCCCCGGTGTGCTGGAGGTGTGGGTCGGGGGGCCTGGGGGCTGCAGCCCCAGCACACGGACACAGCCACTGCTAGCCACGGGTGCTGCCAGCTGCACCAGAACTACGTGGCTCTACACTGCATAATTATTTACACAGGGAGAAGCTAGAAGTGTCTCACTCAGAACTGAGGCGGTTTGGGGTTTAAGAGGTGCTCTATATTCTCCTGCATTGTTTTTTTTAGCAATTCCTTCTGTTTTCCCTATTTGCTGTCAAGGTAACCGACAACGTGGCAGCGGCAGCGAGAGCGAGCCTACATACAGAAAGCAACAACTGCTACAGCACTGAAAGGCTGAAGTGTTTCTGCATCACACCGAGATTTATTTCTCATCATTGCACCATTTACGTATGAGATACCAACACAATAATGAAAACAACTATCCTCAGCTTTTTCTGATGAAAAAATTAAATGTACTATAAGGCCATGATTTCATTAGGGATTTTGGAAATGAGATATATATTAAAAATTTGCTTTCAGTGGAACCCATGCTGTAAAAATGGATTCTGCCAAAGCAAACACTGATTTAGAGGGGCTTTGACTGGCAGCTTTTACAGATCACAGTCCAGTAAGAAAAGTTGTGTTAACAACGCTTCATTTACATAGCAAAAAGCTCCTCAGAGAGGTCATGGTGGACGTGGGTGACAACTGCTGCCCCATTTTAGAAATGAGGCAGCTGAGATCTGTATCGATTAGGACCAACTTGCCTGAGCTACAGAAGCTGCCAGGGGCAGAGCCATGGCCAGGGGGCAGCTCTCTGGAGCCCAGGATACGTGCACCCACCGCCAGGCTGCTGAGCTCCCCGGCGGCTGGAGTGGCTTCAAGGAGCAGAGGGCTGGGACTCGCCATCTCCTTCCCCCAGTGAAAAGCTATCTCTCAGTAATACAGGCAAAAATAATGTTTGCACAAATTAGCCATATCTGATAAGCAGAAATTAAATTTCCATTACGTGTAGGCGGTAAATGTAAAAACCATAGGAAAACATGTGCGAGCAACAGAACACAGAACAAACACTCCAACTGCTAGTCCAGTTCACAGATCTATGTACGTGGAAATATAGGCAGCTACAGCCACGAAATACCCCATGTTATTGAACAGTTTAAACCAAGCATTTCACCCTCATAAAGCCATGGTCATCCTGCAGCTGAATGAAAAGCAACTGTTCAAGAAGTGGGGGGTAAAAGGGACGACCCTGGGTACACAGGAGCAGTTCCACTGGTGGAGGTCCCCAGAAAGCTGCTCAGGGCAGAGCTGCGACACGCTGCACCTCCACAGACAGCAGCTGCAGGACATGCTGAACATTGTTAGGTGGATGAAACAGCTTTGCCTCGATAGACCAGAAAAGCACAGGCGTCCAAAGTAACCATCTCTCAAATTATTGCTTAACTACATAAACAGCAGAATACACGTGATGGAAGGAACCGATATCGGTTGGGTATGTCACCTCCAGTACTGTGACTGCACACTAATGACTACCAGGATTTTAAAAATCAAGCTAAGTACAATACATACCAAAAAAAAAAAAAATCCCGTAACAGCAAAGGTGTAAAAAATAAAATGTCATCAAGTATAACGCAAGCACATGGGCAGCAGGCTGTGAAGGGACTGATGCATAAGCGCTGGAGAACAGAAACAGGACTTGCACGTCCAGGAGCTCTGGTGCCACAGCTTTTACAGCTGCACTCTCACTTTTACTCTTCTCTCAGAGTCCCCAGAAGCACACAGGACACCTCACGGTCTGTGCAGGACCTGTACGCTGGAGATCAGTCAGCCTACACACGCCTGTTACCAGCCAGCACACCTAGCAAGTGATGCGAGAGGGAGCGAGGACAGACAGACAGACAGAAAGTAATTTCGTAACATTTCAGCATTGCTCTTTTGGAACTCAACATTATTGCCATGGGCTAATACGTCAAACAATATAGAACAGGCTTAACAGTACACAACAGATACACATTAATTCCACAACTCAACAGTACCCACTACTCCATTTGGCAAAATATTTATTTATAATAAATCTGTTCAAAAGCAGTTGGTCACAAAGTATTCTTTTTACATTTTTAGGCTGTAACAATGCTTTTGGTAGAAGTAAATAAACTGTCTCTTTATACACAGTGTACAAAAACAAAGAGACGTTGAAATGACAGTTACAATAAACCACATGGAAACGCGAAGGAACAGTAAGACAAAGGCCAAAGCAAGAGGAATCTGTCTGCGCACAGGCAACGCTGCCAGGATCATTTACCCGTACAAATCCTCAGCCCCGCTCAGTTATTCCCACACAGCTCTAAACTGCAGATTTACGCTCCAGGAGGAGTCGGATGGGATGTAGCAGCTCCAGTCACTCTTTCACAGTACTGCATGTCAACACTGGGAATGGTTTCTGATATGGTTTAGACTGCACACAGTACTTCAATAAAAAAAAGTTAATTACTCCCACTCTGTAGTTCCTGGTGGTTTTGATGTCAAGTCATACATCACCCGAGAAATGCCAGGAATCTTCTTTATCTCCACAACCATTTTTAACACAACCTATTGTGGTGGAAAAAAGAAAAAAAAAAATCAGAAAAAAAAAAAAACACACGTAATGCAGACCTGATGAAAACTATCCTACAAAAGATTAAAAAAGGAAAACTTTGTTCATCCTGATTTTGCTATGAATGGGAGAGAAAAAGCCTATAGCTATTAGAATATTACCACCAGTTAAGAAATGAAAACAACTTGAAGGAAACCTCTAGCTTATGATATCTGCAGCTATGTTCAGAACTTGCTGATTTCTGGCACTGGTAATAAACCAGCGTCAAACACAATACGCTTCCCTTAAGGTAGCAGCTCTTCAGCTTCCAAATGATTTCTTGGAAATTACCTTTTATTGTATACTGCTAGATTTTGCTATCAGTCATTTTCAGGCATTTTTCAGACCCTTGTCTCCAGCTGACCCACACTCAAACACAAAATAGCAGCCAGAGTGCAAGGATGAACTTTTAAAGCAAAAAAGGGAGCTCTAAAGTTTAAAAAATAACAGAAAGAAGCATCTATGGGAAAGAGTTTCCACTGGCAGTTGTTCTCCAGGGTATGGTATTTCGGCTGAGCTGTGCTGGAAAGCCTGTTAGATTGTCACTTCCAGCAGAAACCACTGTCAGCTTCTCATTTTGTTAGCTCTTCCCAGAGCACCACCACACCTTTCCCAACCACCACGAGCAAAAACTGAGATCCTCTCCCAGAAGAATCAGAATCAAGACAAGCAATCAAGAAACCGAGAAGAAAGGCAGAACAAGTCACCTACAGCACCAGATCATTCTGAAAAGAAACTTGAACACCCGTATTCGTATTACCTCTTCTGGGATCTCATTACCAGGAGTTGCTGCAATACCAGTCATGAAGTCGCTCGTGATGAAAGTTCGGATAACCACGGATCGTTGACAAGAAGGTTGTTTCTGTAGGGGGTCTCGATCAAAATGCAACGGTGTCAAGATTATTGGCATCTGGCTAATTTTTCCGGCGTAACCTTCAAAAAAAATCGTTTTGTTTTGGTTTAAAACCCACAAACATGATAGAAGTTCTACCACACTTCCCTACACGTACTCCAAACGCTACACTAAGAGCTCCAATAACACAGAAGGATCCACGGTAGTTCTACAATCTTTTCACTGCCACGCCTCAGAAGATCCCACTGATTATCCAATTATGTAATTAGCGGTGTATACACTGAATTGCCACTTGAAATAATCTTCAGCGTTTGCAGGCATGCAGAACAAAATTAGGAAATCTCTGTTAACCCTGTAATTGTCCGTGGTTGCAATTCAGGATCTAATTCCTTCCAACCCAGCATAAGCATGCAATTCCAGCTATTCCCACATCAAGCCCAACAAACAGTCACTCCCATAAAAAATGCATCTTTTGAGAAACTTTTAGTCTTCATCAGTGAAACCAAGACAAGAGCAACTGCCATGGTAGAGTGCTTTAACACTTAGCAATTCCCTCTTTAACTTCCAGAGAAAGTAGTTGATGTCTTCGACATATTTAAAATAAAGTTTTTAATTTTCTCGGTTGCTGGTAACTCCAGGATGCTTTCTTGTTGTTTGCTTTAATATGCCCTTCTGAAAGCCAATACCCAGAACCCTAGATGTCACTGTTGAAATTACCTAGAGGTTTGAGATTCAGGTGCGTGGCGGAGTGCCAAGGCACTCTGACACTGACACGGGGTCTCACAACTCGGCTTGCACCAGCCTGACCTGCCAGCACTAACCCAAGCCTTATTGTGTGGACTGACTCACTCAAAGCCAAGCATCACCAAGAGCGAGACAAATCTCTAATTTTACAGATGTAACTGACAGCATTATCATAAGATTTTGAGGCTCTTTTTGTACAAATTATGGTAAGAGAGCCTTGCAAGCAGAATATGCATTTTCAAAAAGATATCCTTTGGAACTTGATTTTACAAAATACACACTTTTGATGAACTGTTCCCCAGGCAGTACATCACACATATATCACATCTTCAGCTGTTATTAAGGAAAAACAAACAAACAAACAAAAACCAAACCCAAACCTCAGAACTCCTACGTTCCTAGAATCAGCCTGTCACATTCCAAAAAGAACTGAATTGTCCCTTAGCATCGTGGGATGTTAAATGTTTAAAAAATATTATGCCATCTACTAGCCTCAAATTGTTGGATTTACAAATACAGTACCTGCTTTAAATTAAAAAAAAAACACGAAACCACTTTGGCACAGGTGGTTTGCACCATCACCATTAAGAACTTAGTATTTGGTCTCTTCTTTCCACATAAAAGCAGAGTTTTGAAACCATGCCAGGTGTCTTTGCATGGTTCATTTACTTCATACAAATACTGATGACTGAGATCATCAGCAAGGAGAAATATCTGCTTGACTATTTGGTTGACTTTCTTTGCTTTGGTATTTGACTTTCTGGTGGCTAACGGTGGCTTTTGCAGAAGTTTCACACCTCTGAGCTGTGTAAGGTTTCAGAGGCAAACCTCCACCCTTACGAGGAGAAGAGAGTCCTGTGTGGGAGAACTGGGAGCAGATCAGGGGGAGGCAATACCCGGCTGTGAGAAAGTTCTCCTCTAGCTGCGGTGTGAAGGATCTTGAAACAATAGTCTAATTCATGGGACTAGGCTAAATACCTACCAGACTCCCTGAGAATATTGTGAGCCTCAAAATCAGCTTGACGTAAAGTGCTGAGGACTCCTGTTGTCAGAAACGTGGGCGTGACATCGGTGGGAGGCTCTTTGACTGGTGGACCGAACACATACACAACCCTGAAAAACAAGCCAGATGGCAGGAACACGTTTTGTTTAAGTGGAATGAAACAGCTTGCCTGAAGACTACAGTGTTAGTATCGCAGAAAAGATAATGAAACCTGAAAAAAAAGCTGAATATCTGATTTTGCTCCTTAGCCACTAGCTAGAACTTAATATAACTTAATGGATATGCTCTATAAACATGAGTACAAGCTTTGCAAGTCAAATGTACTCATTTATTTTGGTTTGCTAGAGCCTGGCAATAGCCCCGCTGTTACTTATTCAGTTTTTCAGAGGATTATTCTCTTGCAATATTAACTCAGTGGTATCACAGATGTTTTTTCAGTTTTACTTTGATGTCAGTAAAAGTTAAGATTATGCTAAGAAAGCTACTTAAGTACTTACAATTTCTATCTTCTGCCCTATGAGGAAGCCACCAAAGCCACATCATTGAACAGTAAACCTTGTTTGTTAAGGAATAGCTGTGTTTTCATCACAGGGCACTAACACTGTTGTTTACAAATCTACATCACTACATCTGTTAAATTATCTTCTGAATTCAAGCCAGTCACAACAACTTGATCATTTTAATCTGTTTCATACATTCTTGAACAAAAAGCAAAGTACAACACTGACCGACTGGCCTCACAGAAAGATTTACCACGATGCATTCACACAAGTTGTTTGAGTTTGTAGATACAAATCAAGAACGCTCATCTAAAATCCAAAGCAGGAAAATATTCAAACCTCACATTCCCTATTTTTGTTTGTAGTATGAAGCCTGCAAGCATAACTGGGCAGCAGCCCAACTATTTCAGCACACTCCTCAAACTGCCAGCTTTCCCAGCTCCCTTCAATGTCTCTATCAACACCAACAAAAAAATCTGAGAAACACACCCTGATCCAGCAGAGGTGCCAGGGAAGTGGTACATTCAGGAGGGAAGCATTAAACCCAAAAGGAGCTTAAAGACAACAGCAATGTTGTAAATGCAGCACAAACTTTTACATTGCACACACAATCCTGATTTCATGCCTTCTTTCGTTCCCTCTGCACATGAGTTTCTTCCAACTGAAGGTCTCACCCCAAGATCAGCAGCTCTTTCAGCAGGTGTCACTTAAGTGACAAAATTAAGCTTTGCTGTAAGCAATTATAAACAGCTCTGTCAGAAAGTCTACAGCTGGGCAAGGAGGATTTACGTTCTCTCTGGAACTGACTTAATGTCTACGCAACTTCAGAAGAAAATGTATATTCACAAGAAGCATCAATTAAGATTAAAGTGCCCAGCTTTGGAGCTTTTCCTTATACCACTGGAGTTGACAGTCCTATGTAGATTCCCTTTCTGACACAAAGCAAGATGCCGCATGGTATCACAGCTCATCAACAGGCTCGGCATCTTTCAAAAGAGATTCTGCCTAAGTTAATTGCAAGTTGTCTAATCAAGTGCTTAAAATGAGGAGCTAAACTTTGAGTTTCTTCAAGTTAGTGATTCCAGAAATAAACCTAAGCTTGGATCAGTTGTGCATTTGTAACCTCCGTATAGGACATATATTATGTGTAGAAGTTATACCAGAGATTAAACAGGAGAGTGCTCGTGAGTGCAAAGCTTCCATCTATTAAGTAGATCATCAGAAATAAAGACAGTTCAATTCTGAACAGCGAATACTTACCTGTTTATGTTGTGGCACATGCGTGGTATGAGTCTGGCAAGAAACATAAGAGACTCCCAGTGTGGAACATCTTTACTAGAGATCCCACAGACATAGCTATAGGAGCGACAGTCACCCTATAAATTAAAAAAAAAAATAAGTAATTGAACATGAACTTCACTGCCAAAATAATTCACGCTACCTTTCCCATTCATCCTGCGAGTTACAGGACCATACTGTGTGTCAACACTTAGCAGACATTAAGCTGCTGAAATCAGTTTGCTCAGAGACACCAAATAAGTGAGAAAAATCAGAGTAAGACTGACCTCTCATCAGCTAACACAAGCACACAAAAGGGAAGCTTTCAGAATGGAAAGATTCAGACAAGGTGGTCAGACCACAGGGATTGACTGAATATTAGGATTTTGAGGGCACCAGCTGAGAAAGGCCTGCAGCAAAGTGCAGAAATCTGCTGGTGATATTGCTGCTTAAAACAGTGACAAGAGCTGACTGCAAGGAGTTACAGAAGAGATGCAAGATTAAGCAGCTGATAATAAAGGTTGTAATTCAATACTGATAATGCAAAAAAAGACACCTGACAGCTATGATCACTGAGTAAAGAAATCCTCCAAGTTATTATATGCAATTCCATGAGAATGCCAGCTCAGCATTTAGTGACAGAAATACAAAGGACCACCCACAAAAACTCCCATGGCATTGGCAAAGGAGTGAGAGGGAATAAAACACTATGCTACAGATTCAAGTGAACAAACATGTTCCAATGCAGAAAGATGCTTTTTTTTTTTTTTTTGACCAACTTAATCTAGGACTCCTCGGCCTTGAAGGAGGCAACAGGATTATGGCAGAGGTCTACAAGATTACGAACAGCCTGAAGAAACTGCCTGTGGTAAGTGATCGACGTTATTCAGCAGTAATGACATCCTCAAATACCGTACTTGGCATTTACCCATGTGTCTGCTCAGATCTCTTGACATCTGTGCGCTACCAGTGCTGACAAGCAATAATGACACAGGTACCATCTCCTTTTGATGTTTATTTTCCAGAGTCAAGCCCTTTCTTTTTAACCTTACAGCAGCAATTCTTAAGCTTCACAGCAGTCTACCATGCTGCTAGGAAGCAGCTTTAAGAATATCCCTAGAATGAATTCATTTACCTGCACTCCCACGGTTTTGATGGGTAACAAGAAGGCATTCAGTGAATGTAGGCTTGTGATCTGCATCAGCTTCTCCTGATCTTCCTTCAGTTGTACATGCTTTGACCCTTTGCAACAAAGTATGTGGCTGTGCAATGATGCAGAAAAATAGCTTTTAAGTAAAGCCCTCAAACACTCAAACAGAACTTACACAATGCAAGTGAAATTAAGTAGCTGCCTAAAGTTAGTCCTCAGTTAGCCCTTGGAACTGTTTACAAGATACCTTTCATTTACCAACAACTTTTTAGTGAAAGCAATTGCACATATTTTAAGCTGAAGCTCTCCAAAGCCATAGGTGAAGGTCTTTTTCTATGTTTATTCTCTCTTTCTCAAAGCTGTATTTCTCACGCTTGTGGTTTACTTCAGGTACAGAACAAAGCAGTATCACGTTACAGAACACTGCAATCTGATACATTTTAAATAAAAAGCTGCTGTAACCATTCCCCCCTTCAGTGTTTCTTCAATAAAGTTCTGGAAGTTGTTCTGACCTTGTAACTTAGAGCTACCTTCTGCTAGTGGCTTTTCAGACCCCTGCAGTTCAGCTTGAGTGAGGAGCTTACAGTAATCAGGAAGGTCACAATAGTCAACAGATTGAGACCTTAAATACCATCAACTAATAATTTTGTTTGGCTGGGACATCTAGCAAGCGCTAGTTTCTCCCTCTTGTGCTTTCATTCAGGCACTCAGTGACTGTCAGGGCATGCAATCCTAAGAAGTTACAAGTATTTCAGGGAGGGAAAATCTTTTTCTGATATTGTGTGATTTGAAACATCTCCAGAAATCCTAACCTCCATGAATTTTAACTAAAACAGAATTTATTTACTATTTGAAAGGTACACAAACTTCCATTTTCCAGAAGTTGCTCAACACTTGCCATAGCCATGGCTCTAAGAATTCTACTGCACAACACCACATGGCTTCAAGGGAGTTGGACTGGAATACATTATTCCCAAAGTGCACAAATAAGTAGTTTTGAACTTTCAGAACCTTCAATCTTACAGCAGTGTGCTACAGAATTACAGTACTTTTGTGTATATTAGAATTGAGCAGTTTTGTTACCTTCTTAACACTTGCAGAAAAGTCTGCAACTATTTTCAAAATGTTGTTTGTTTCAGGGAAGTCTTTGCACACGTAAGGTTCCTCAGCACATATCACTCTGATTGCCAGACCAGGACCTGCAGCATAAAGTTGAAAAAACATTATGCTAAATAACACTGAAGCTGACTTTAACCTAAAACAGTAACACCATCTGGACCCTCAGGTCAGTCATTAAGTACAGTATCGCTTGCCATCATACCTATACTTACACTGCCTTAGCACCCTACAAACCAAACCAAAACCATAAGCAAGCAGTTTATTCTGGAACGGGATTTCTGATCAATATAGGTACGCATTATTTACCTACACTTTCAATTGGCTGTTGGTGTAAAGCAGCAGTTAGTGGTGACGAAGCGTGGTGCAAGCTAAAGCAAATGGGAACCTCCGCCTTCCTTCCCTTTGCTAGGCAGCTTGGATGAAAGAGCTGGTTATATTATAGTTGAGTCTCCACTGTTTTAAAGACCCCTGAAGGCTATTCAACCTTTTAACTACTTGATCCAAAAGGAAATGTAATTTGCTGGAAATGCCTGAATACAGTTTCTTTAATTTCATGCGATGCTGGTGCATTAGCAGGATAGCCTATGCACTCTGCCAGTGGCTACTACACACCCTGCAGGACAATTTGAAAAACACGAAAAGAAAAGCATACCCCTCTTAAAAGGATGTGGACTTTGTTATATTATATACTTTGATGCTTTCTGGTCGAGAACTGTTGCTGTTATTCTCCATGCAATCGTTTTCAAAACAGCAACTGCCCCTGAGAAGGGCAGGCAGCCATTGGCCATTATTTCAAGTAAGACACACTTGACAGCTTAGACAGCATTCAGCTGCACTTCACTGATAATTCTTGCTTTGGCTTATACAACTAAAAAGAAACAAATACAGCTATAAGAGAACTCAATTATAGATCTTTTCTTTTAATCACTATACATAATAAAGCTGCTCTCAAACACTTCTCCTGAAAAAAAGATCCTGCTTAAGTAAGCTGTGATCCTGCTCAGTAAATCCATCAGTTTCGTTCTATGTTTAGAGTTCAGTTTTATGCTCCCACATAAATCTATTCTGCAGGTTAAGCATCTTCTAAACAGCACTGAGGCCACCCGTAGCCTTTCACTAAGTAGCACAGACTCTCATACCTGGGAAGGGATGCCTTGAAACCAGCTCCTCGGGAAGACCAAGCTCCCTTCCCAGCACTCGTACTTCATCTTTGTGAAAGTCTTTCAGAGGTTCTATTACTTTACCCTAAAACAAAACAAAAAGAAACAGTGATTTACACTCTAGCTCACAGATTTAAACAAAAAGCCTCAAATGTTTAGGTCATGGCAGTCAAATTGGCCTGCTTTTCACAGCATCAGCTGCCAACACTTACATAAACACTGGAAAGGAACGTTCATATGAATGTAGGCTTTGTAGAACAGTTACAGGAGAGGGGATTAGACAGGAAAGTTTGTGTGTGTGCCAAAGCTATCAATGGCTCAGTCAGTGCAAATACACCTGTAGGCCAAGCTGGTTCTGACTGTCTTCAGAAATTCAGACTGTTCTTCTCTTCACCAGATGTTCAAACCACTCTTAAAAGCCTTGAAAACACTTCGTAGAGCGATGAATATTACAAGTGCAGATCATGCAAGGTAACTGTCTCCTGTGACTGGTCACTTACATGGCACTTACTAGGAACAGAAACTTCCAGCAGGGTTGCTATGTGATTGATGTCTCATGTGCTGGTTCTTTCTTAGAGTATTTTTAATAGCCAGAATGTTCACCATTCTAATGCCAGAAAAGGCAAAATGGTGCAGTCTCCTACGCTTGCTTTATATGCTCATATTTAAGACTGCTGCATGAGAAATGTATTCAAAAAGCTTTTCTGGACTTTAGACTATGCTAATCCACTGTGAATACAATCAAAAAAACAGGGCATGGGCTGCACATCTTCAGACTGTCTTCTGTCACCAGTTCAATCCCCCGTGTTTGCACTGTCTGCAAATTCCCCATCTTTACCCCCAGGTGTACATGCGAGCCCATTTCAGAAGGATCTGTGGGATCTTAAATTGACAGCTGGCAAACAGATTGTGCACCTCCACATACTGCTGGCAGAGAGCTGACCAGGCTACCGGTGACTTGATGCAGAAGCTGCTTAAGAACAGAGAGAGCTGATCCCCGTAGGCAGCTGAAAGAGCTTTCCCTAGCTTTCACCTCACTTAAAAGCGTTGTTCTCATTCTCTCTCAAGGGAGGAGAATTCCAGGCCTGTCGTGCTGAACGCTACCAAGAAGTTCAAGAGCAGAATTTCAACTGGAGCTGACAATCATTTCACTAAAGCACCCTCACTGCTGTTGCTTGAATCCCTAATGTGCTTGAGCTGGGCAATCAATGCCGTTACAAAAGGCTGCCTAATGATTGATGTTCTGACCAGGATACAAAGGGAAGAGTAAGTGATCCATTACATCATGAACTCCAGCTGAATCAGCCTAAAATCGTCTGAAAAGCCTTTACGTACTGTTCTGCATTTGGTATTGGTTTTTATTGAGACATAGGCTTGTTTTGAGTGTTAAAAACACAAAAGAGCAAGGAAAAAGTTTTCAGCTTGCCATTATGAGCAGCATTGCTCACATGGAAGGAATCCGCACTCAATCTGTTGATATTTTCCCCAGTATCCAATGCTGGACAACAGCGAAAGAATTCTGACTACTGTGAGAATGCAGCAACTAGAAAGAAGCGTAATAAATTACAACATACTAGAATAGAACCTAAACAACCTCACAGTTATAGGGCCACATCAACACAGGCCAGCTATACCAGCAAAACTTTCCAGCACATTTTTGGTAATCAGCTTCCTATCTGTGAGAACCAGAAGGAAACAGCAGTATCCTTGTTTTCATTTACCTCCTCTCTTAACTTCCGAATCAGCTCTGTGTCATTATGATGAGTTTTGATGACTTCAGCTTTGCCACTTGCAACAAGGGAAGCGCTTTCAATGAGATCAGGTCTGAGGGTACCCTGAGCAAGAAACACCTCTTCAGGTTTCAGGTTCATCTCTCCGATAACTTCATTGGCAATCTGTAAGATGTACAGAAGAAAAAGAGAAGGGTTTTGATCCACTTTTTCAGTTATCAAGGGTCTAAATAGATTGTTCCTGACAATGCTACTGAGCTGCTGAAACATGAACAATAAACACAAAGACTAATCATGACAGTAGCCTACGGCTCAAATTCACCCCTAAAGCCATGCTTTTATTTTTTAAAAAAAGCAAATGGAAAGAGTATCTTGAGAGCCCAGGAACACCAGTGTTTGTTAAGCATTATGTTCTCCCTGCATCACCAGTACTGACAGCTGACATGAGAAATGGCAAAACAACAGAAGTGTGCCCAAATTTGAGTTACTTACCCTTTTGGTGAGGAATCAGTACATAAAAGTCAATGCCACAGGAACAAATGGCCAACCAATATAATATACCTAAAGATGCTGGTGGGTCTAGTGCACTGTTTGTTACTCATGCTATGACCACTCATTGTCTGACAAAAATTTCAGGCTCAGAGTAATGCACTAACATCTTTATAGGTCACCTACTACTTGTACGACCATTGATGCCACTGAGTGCACAGAGCTTTAAAATGAAACAGTCTGAGGTAAAAAAACATATCTAGAAATCATTAAAAAATAAATAATAATAATTATACACATTACCTTAACAAAGGTGTCACCGATAATTTTTCTTTTTTCTTCAGGACTTGTAGTCATATTTAAGGTCTTGCTGATTCTTTTACGTGGAGTTCTGTCTTCATCAGAGATTGGCAGAGTTGTTGTACCGTTATAGAACGAATGAGCTGCATTCACCACTGCATGAAATTACGGGAATTTGTTGCCAAAATCAATAAAGATTTGTATGTAAGATTGCAAAAAATAAGAATTACTACTGTTTAAAAAAAACAAACACGTTTCAGTCATTTAACTATTGTTTGCATTAAATAGGCCTGTTTGATACCTCAACAATTAACTGCTACAAAAGTATCTTATTTCTTTTATTAACATACTATGGAGGGCAATTTTTTCTTATTGTGAGGCTAGGCAACAGGATGAAAGTTTAGTTCTTGTCTCCCCTCTTAGATAGGTGCTTTATTTAAATGGTTACAGGATAGTTATTTCCCCAAGGCCCTTCTGCAGCTGCAATTAAATGATACACTATTTACTCATGGTACATTATCCCTCTTCATTTAGAGAGGCTCTCAACGCAGAGATCAGCTGGGAGGCTCTCCGGCATCTTTTACCAGCACTGAACTCCACAACCTCCAGAAGGAGCATTTCCAGTAAAGGGATTCCCTTCCTTAGTCTCTCTGGCAGCCTGCCAGCACCCAGATTTATCTGTTTGGAGAATGCAAGAATAAGGCCTAGCTTTTCACTAAAACAAAACAACAACAAAAAGAATCCTGCATCGATGTGTGCAGAACAAACTCTGCCCTTCACCGCATCAGGATTTTACAGGTCAAGCTGCCAGATGCTGCTGTGGAAGCTCCCTGCACCGTTTCACACTGGCAGCCTAGCGGAACGCGTTGCTCACCTAGAACCATGCTTCCTGACCAAAACACAAGACAACAACAACACTACTCACAGACAGCCCCAGGAAGAGGCAGCTATAGCTTATAAAACAAACCAGCCAGACTGTATAAAGCAGCTCTCATCAGCCACACAATCCATACATAAAATGTCTTCTCTGACCTCCTTCTTTGGGCACCAAAAGCTCTAAACCTTATCAGCCAAGACAAGGCACCTTCCACCCTCTCCAATGTAGTGCTTGAAGTCATGAGACTGCTTCTCCACATGCGACTCCACAAGCAACTAAAGAGCACCCATTTAGAAACTGGGAGAGTGAAAAAGAGCCCTGGGAGGGGATTTCTGGCTATAATGCACATTGAATCACCCACATGAGCTCACAGTGCTAAAAGACAGCGATATGGGACAAGAAGGAAGCCTCAGTGGAGGACTGTTAACCAAGCTACTGAAGAAAACTGCAATCGAATGACTTTTGTAGCAGCTGAAGAGGATTGCTTGTCCACCTGCAGAACAGTGACCAAGCATCAGCAGCAGAGGCATGCCCCAGCTGCTATTCCCCAGGGACAGAAGAGATGGGTCAGTTCAGGGTACGATCCCAGCACACGAGTTAGGCTTTAATGCTTCAGGTTTGAAATTTTGTGATAGCCTAGGTTGTTCCAGATGAACACCCGTGCTTTGGTACGCAGTCTGTGAACCATGAAAGGTGATTCAAATTGATGAAACAAAATCCTAAATGTACATTTTAGGAGATGAGACACATCATTAGTGGTATCAAGGATATTTAAGGAAATTATGGTACCTTTAACTTGAATACCGAGTTTTTTGAGTGCCTCCTCCACTGACTGACTCTCTCTTTTGCGCATAAATCCGTTATCTATATGTACAGCTATCACCTGATCGCGGTTTAAAGCTCGGTTTAGGAGAGCAGTGCACACTGTTGAGTCCACACCTCCACTGAGTAAAACCTAAGGATGAGGAAAAAAAGGAAAAAAAAAATTGTTCAGCTGTTTAGGGGGAAAGTGTTAACTAATAATTCAGATACAGTTACAAGGATGAAAAACTACTGATTTCCCAGCAATGACTTGGAGGAAAATGAGAAGCCAAACAACATATTGACCCAGTTGTGCAATGGTACGAGCTTTCTCAAACCTGTTTAATGTATTACCCAAACCACGACAATTCTGCATTTTTCAAGTTACCCACATTAACCACGTCAGCATTTCTGTCAGATTGTTACAAGTCATCTTTCAACTTCAACTGGATCTACTTACCAGGACTTTAGATGAACCCACTTTCTCTTTGATATCTTGAATGCACTGAAGTTCTCTGTTTTCCACCGTAAAGGTACCACTGCATCCCGCAATATCATAAAGAAAATTCTTCAGGATCATTTTTCCGTTCACTGTAAGGCTAACTTCGGGGTGGAACTGTGCTCCATACAGTTTTTTAGATTCATTCGCTATACCTTAAATGGTGCAAAGAAACGAGGGTAGCAAAAGAATTGGAAGTGAAATGCATATCCACACAGCAAAAACACACTTTTGCTTCAAATCCATTAAGCTCTACTTTTGAAACTGCATGTCCTTTAAAAATGTTAAAATAAAAAAGGCGAGTTGAAACATTTCAGAGTTGTCACTGGGAAGTCATTCACCAAAATGTGCAATTCATTTGTTTTCTATAAATGATTAATGACATGACAGCGTTCGTAGCAGGAATCTGCTTGCTTCAGTATTAGCAGATCTATTGAGAAATTCAGGAAATCTGATATCTGCCATCCACGCTTCACACTAACACTCCTGATACAAGAAGTTATTTCTTTTTGAAGTTGAAAAGTTGCCCTTCTAACGTAACTAATCTGAAAAGGGAATTTACATAATACTCAGAATTTGCCTACTCTCGCTAATTAGTTATCTGATTTAAGAGCAGTACGTAAAATATTGTTCTCTAACTTCGATAACAAGTTAATCAAGCTGTAATAACTAAACCATGTTTGATTTGTACCATTACAGTGCAAAAACCCCTCCACTTACACTGCACACACTATGGGACATGTTTTCCTCTCCCCTATCTGAAGGGAATGCAACATTTTATTCTGAAGAGAAACAATACTTGCATGCTTTAAAATAACATAAACGAACTGTAAAAATCTAGTTACATTTTCCTTAAACCACTAATTCAAAACAAGACCACTCATTTTCACGTCTATTTCTTTCTTTATTAGCATGACAACGCAGCATGGAAACAAACACATCCAAGAACTTGCTTAAAACAATTCAACTATTTGGCAATTAAAAAATGGAAATATTCCTTTCCCATTTGGTTCCAATTAGGTACTGTCTGACGTAATTCCTTCCTTTAACAAAGACTACCAAAAGACAATTTCAGGATAAAATAAATACCTGCTATGATGTTCCCAGACTGCGCAACCACTTTGAATCCATCAGCTACTTTATCCACGCTGTCCCCGTGAGTGAGGAGCACAAGCTCTTCCTTCTGAAGGCCCCTAAAGAACAGTGAAAGCATTCCAATCAGCCAGATGCTTTCTGAACATGTGCAGGATTTCCTTAGCAGAAACAGTCATCTCCAACCGAGATCCCTTCACTGAAGCCTCCCTAAGTTCCTGTACAACACAGCCTTCATGCAAGAGGTAGTTTGTCTGAATTCAGAAGGTTTTTTGTTGTTGTTTTAAAACATTCCAACACTGAAACGTCCCCTCTCTGACACACACAGCCATTTAGAGCCAGTCAGGATATGTATTCTCCTGTTTTTTTATTTCACTGAAGCCAATTTGTGATCAAATCAAAATGCCTTCAGGACAGCTCTGGACACCCTAGACTTTAGGCAGTTCTACAGTACCTGCAGAGGGAAAAAGTTAATAAACTCGGACCTTTAGGAATGAATAAAACATCATGATTATTGCAAGGAACTTGAGGGGCGTTGATGAACTACCAAGATATCTGATTTCTTCCTAAGGTGGGAAGGTAGAAAACTAATGGCTTCAGATTTTCTATCACCTTTCAAAAACTAGGTAGGTGCCAGCCAACATAAAGCGATGCACAACCAAGGAGGATGCAAGAGCTTACCACATTCCTGTGCTGCAGTACACCTTCTGGTGCCTCAATGAAGACATTTGACTTTGAATTTCAGGGGTTTATACAACACTTCAGGCAAACATACCCAAGTTTCTAGAGTTAGCTGAGAAGTTATGCCTAAGTATTTGTTTAAACACATAACTTGCTTAGTCACAGTTGTAAAGGTCTTATTGAAATTACATGATGAGCATGGGTGCAATTTCATTTTCCTAAACACACGCTTCCTCTCGCCCAGCCAGCAATCTCCAGGCCGGTATTACCCACATGGCTTTGATCCCTGAAAATGTGCACGTACCTGAACAGCGAACACGTGTTATCCAGAGTGATGTTGAACACTCCGTCTTCTCTAACACTCTTCTTGTGCACTGTACCTCCAAATACTTTATTCATCATCTGCCGAAACAAGAAGCTTATGTGAAAAAGCATGGCACAATTTAATACGGCTTTCATCTTTATAGCTCTGCCTGCAGCTGACAACAGCTCTTGCCCACCAGTGCATCCTAAGCTAGTTTTTCATTATTATACTCATCTAATATCACACTTTGTGAAATGATTATACTCATCTAATATCACACTCTGATGAAATGCCCCCTGCATTGGGCTCATTCTCTTTTGCTGACCTTCTGTCAGCATAGCCAGGGACTGCTGCGGCCCACAGAGAGTTACAGACATCCATAGCAGTGGACAACGAGTAAAGATTTGCAAAATAATGCACATTCTGTATTGTACATCTACGTGCACTTACAAATAGTTGCTCTGCAAATCAGCTGAGTATCTGATGCCAGTTGTTCAGAAAAATTTTGAAGCTGCTGAACAAAAATCTGTCTCATCTGCCCTTCAGTTAAGGGCTCAGACAGGCTTCAACTTCTCAAGATCTGGCTGCTCAGCTCTGGAGAATAAGGCAACATCTGTCTGATTTTTGTGACCAAGGAGACTTACTGATCTTTGTTACACCAGAGTAGTACAATTCGCAACAAGTTCGTTCTTTCTAAAATCCAACTTCAAACAACACGATGAGGTATCCGCACTTCAGATTCCAGAATTCTCAAATTAAAGATTTTTTTTCCTTTCAGATATAACTGCTAACTTAAAAAAAGTTAGTTTCACCTCCCGACTACACTGTTTCATTGCTGTGAGAAGTTATTTAGATTTAGTTTGGTATTGTACTTGCTGTGCTTGACTGATTCCATCCTTTTATATAAAAGTAGTGGTGTGCTAACACGCACACATTTGATTTCCTTCCATAAAGTCAGCCCTGAGAAACTCCCCTGCTTTAGGCTACCTAACGTGGTTTTTAATTTGCTTGACATTTTAAGGCACTTCCATTTTAATACAGCACACATTTCCCTTTAGAAGAGGGAGTGCCAACATTGTTTCCATAATTGCCAGCCTTTCTCAAGGAGTTTTTCCAGCCATTATTCAGCACCTCTGAAGGCCTAGTAAATTGCTAACCTTGAAAAAACCAACATGCACACGCAGAAGTCATGCACCCAACCTGTCCTATGCCCCCTTGAGAGTCTGTTTCTTCACTCAGCTTGGATCTACTAGATCACTGCAGGGTCACCAGGAAGTCATAAGAGGAATAAGTGTTTTGTATAAGTGTTTTGTGCTTTTTTTTTTTTAACCACTCTTAAGAACTATGCTAGAAACACTCTACGCTTGAAAACCAACAGGAAAAACTACTTCTGTTTATGAGGGACACGTTTTTCAGTATCAATTAGATGGCACTAGTTAATGACTGCAAGGTGTATTTATTGTGACAAAAAATGCAGTCTGGAACTCAATTCACAGCAGTAAAACGGGGAGAAAAGCTGCTCATACGGCCGAAGCAAGAGAAGAACACCCAGCATGCTCAGTGACCAATTAGCACCTTAAAAATATCTTTTGCATACACGGCCCAGTGCTTAGGTTGGCAAAGCAGGTCCTGCAGCCGTTCAGCTCTAGCTAGCACCAGAACTGAGGCAGCAGCAGGCAAACAGCTCTCCCCACAGCACCTGCATTCCGTAGCAGATCCCAAGGACTGGTTTTCCTATTGTGAATATCGCGGGGTCGAACCATGGTGCATCTTCTGCATACACAGAGTTTGGTCCTCCGGATATGATGATAGCTCTGCAGACAAGAGATGATTTAATTAACTCAAACACATTGCTTACTTTAAAACCTCTTTATTTGCACAGTGACATTGACTTATACCACTCTTAGTAACTCTGTATATTCTTGGATAGATTCTAATACAGATAGTTCAGCTTTGCTATGCTATAGCTGGCAGAAACAGCAGTTTGCCAGAGCAGTATTTCCTCAGTTTAAACAAAGTCAAATCTAAGCAGTCTTAAAATGTGTCTGTGATTCCAATTCCTAGCCGAGCACTGACTGTGAGGGAAGCAGGACGGCTAGGACCAAGCGCAGGGCATTAACATGAAGACAGAAATACACTGCACACTGCTTGTGCCATCTGGAGGAGAGCTGTGTTCAGAAGAGATCTCTGAATTAGGGGCGAACACAGCCCCTAACTCCCAGCGACTGCTGCTGTGAGATGCTGCGAGCCAGGCCTTGGGACTGGCAAATGTGCAAGCAGTACACGTGGAAAGCGACCACTGCAAGCTGTAAGAGAAAATTAAAGCTTTTACAAGGGGATGAGAGAGCAGGGGCTGGCCGCGAGGCTTGGCAGGTGCTGCACTGCAGCAGGCCCAGCGAGGCCTCGGCCCCGGGCAGCAGCAGGGAACGTCACATCCCTCAGCGAGAAACACAGCGTGGGCTGGGAGGGAAGCTGTGTGGGGGATTTAGTACTCCTCACAAAACGTTTTTTCTACTGTTATTTGGAGGGTTTGCCGCACAGGCCCTGACACAAGCATTTTTTCCATTTTTAGCCAGCAGAAGTGGGCTGTGCTGAGGCGGGCAGGGGGTGTCGCTGCGTCGAAACGTCGTGACACGGCGTCGGCAGCACCTCTGTGGGACACGGGTGTGGTGGGCAGCAGCAGGTGAGCCCCTCCGGCCCCCAGGAAGCAATCCTGTGCCAGGTGGGTGCCACAGGGTGCTGGGGTCTCCTTGGGGACCTCCAGAAGCTGCCAGGACGTGGCCCTGGGCCCCGCTCTGGGTGGCCCTGCTGGGGCAGAGGGACCCGGAGGTGCCTCCAGCCACAGCCCCGTTGGTTCTGTGAGGCATCTGCTCCAGAGCTGTACATGCAGGTCATTACTTAATATGAATTTAATCTATAGGTGGGGCTAAACTTTTTTAAAATGAAGAATGCCAATGAAAATCCCACAGAACAAAAAGGTTTTCCAAAAATGAACTGGGAGGTGTGAGAGGAAAACGGAGAAAGCCAGCCCAAGCTGCGACCTGCGCCTTCTCAGCCGTCCTCAGAAGTCACTGCAGTGTGGGGTGCAGTTCTGAAAGCCTTACAGCAGCCCCATGTCCTGTTGCACACCTTCTTGCTTTGCTATGCAGGCAGCTCGTTCTGCTTCAGCTTAAACCACCTCCAGAGCAGCCTGGACTAGCCTTGGCAAGCCTGCTCCTAGTGGCCCAAAGGCCGTCAGGAGCCACATCCAAATGCCAACAGCAAAACGCACTCATTGCTGTCCAGACCTCAGGATCCACGCCACGGGTCTGAAACGTGTCTGAGCGCACAGACTGACGCCCCCTCACCCCACACCCACAGCTGCTGCCTGGCCAGGAGCACTGGGGAGCGCTCTGCAGCTGTGAGAGCTGCGGGGAAGGCTCTGCAATACGGAAATACAATTTGGCAAAGGCTTCCATCTTGCTGCCTACCTCAAACCTTAGCACAGAGCACAGGGCAGCTCCCAGGCCTGTTTGGTTTTTATCTTTGATGCCAGACGCTGTGACTCGGACACCAGGCTACCCCCACAGCACGTGCAGCCCACATCAAAATGCTGCAGGAAAACCGTGAGCGTGTTTTCACAGCGGTCACTGCATAAAGGCACCCAGGCTAGCTCTGGTGTTTGCCACGCTCTCCTGCATGCAGATGATTGACCAGGGCTGGGGACACAAAGTTTAGTGCCCAGTCTGTGTGACTGATAAGCTGAAATCACGACCTCAACCCCGAGAGGTGACCTGGTGAATGGAAAGCATTTTAAACAGCAACTATTTGGCATGACAAAACGCCCGAGAGGTGCAGCAGCTCCCAGGTTTTCCCCTCTGTTTGCAGGAGATCAGTCGAGTTCCTATCTGACTTGCCCTATTTGCTGCCTCACTAATTAGCCTTGATTAGGAAAATGTGATTCCGCAACACAGCGCTGCCGCATCTGTTGTGTGGCACAAGTGAGGAAAGCACGTACAGCCTGCTGCTGGATTGTTAAGGGCTGTGATGGTTTGCAGCCTTCAGGGCATTTACTGTCCCCTCACAAACAGAGGCATACCCCGGCAAGCATAAATAAAAAACCAAAGAAGTGTACGAAGTACTGCATAGCTGCGAGCCCTTTCCTTGCTGCAAACAATGCGTGGCACTTCCAGCTACGTTTTTTCAGTTGCTTCCCAGAAATGGCTTGGCATCGTTTCTCACAACTTCTGCAACGCCCGAGTTACAGTTATTTCAATAGTCAGCTTCTCATCGTCAGAAATCACTCTTAGAAACTCATAAAACTTGTTTGTGTGCCCTGGCTTAACAGGTAAAACAGCAAGGTCATCACAATTTCTGTAGATATTCATTTAAAATGCAGCCTCTTCCATCGTATTTGTAAATGAAAATGATTAAAATGACATTTTAATGCACTGCAACAAGAAGCAAGTGTACAAAAAGTAGTATTTCTGCTCAGGTTTCACCCAGCAAAACTCGGGTGCTTCCACAGACAAGCTGAGGGTACAGTCAGGAGCACCTTTAGCCCCCCAGCCCCGCTCTGTGACCTACCGAAAGCCCTGCTCCCGGATGGCGAAGGCTGGCGTCTCCAGGGGGAAGATCTCGGACTGCACGAAGAGCTCGCGCACCCGCCGGTCGATCACCTTCCCGTACTGCGCGCCCGCGTCCAGGATGACGACGGCTCCCTCGTAGTGGTGCTGCCCGTCCTTCAGCTCTCCTCCCGCGTTGTCCGGCTGCAACAGGGCTGGGTCAGCACGGCCCTCCCAGGGGGCACTCACACACGCCGTCCCCATCCCCAAAACCAAACGTGCTGCAGATTAACTCGGCAGCTTGTCCCCCGAATTAAGGCAGAGCCTTCCACAACGCAGCACCAGGCCCCGCTCACCACCATGGTCACTCCAGCTTCCCCATCCCTCAGCTCTGCGCAGAGCCCAGCGCTCCACGCGGTAATTAGCAGCACAGGGCTTCCCCTCCAAGCAGGGCAGAGGAAAAATGAGTTTCCCCCATTACATTGCCTCAGCCGCCAAGCTTTCACTCGACACCACCCCCCGGAGAGTGCAGAGAGGACAAACTGAGAACAGATGCCTCTGCTTAAATATTTAATACATTTTTTTAAAAGCAAGTTTTGAATGCAGCCTTCAAGCGCTGCAGTTTACACATGGGACAAAGCGACAGCTCTCCTCGACCCCGTGGAGGCACTGTTCTACGGAAATGCCCTCACTGCAGGGTCTTCGGGGAAGATGTGAACTCAACCACGCTGCCAGACACCAGGGAATTCACGCGGAAAAACCTCTGCTGCCCACGAAACCTCTCACTTCGGGGTGGTTTTTCCTTAACTTCAAACTTACGCTGTTCCCTTGCCAATGTAACTCGATGAAGGAAAAACTGGGAAGGGTTTTACTTTGGCAAACGCCACCTCAGAACACATTTTGAAGCTCGCAACCATTGCAAGTTTTTATTTTGGCACGCTAAAGATGTTCCGTGTGTTTGCAGCAGGCAATGCAGCCCTCGACCCACGGCTCAGGAGGCTCCTGCTGTTCTAGCCGCCGAGGAAGCCGCCCCAACCTGCAGCACAGCACGGCGTTCCGCATGGCTCTGGTAGCACACAGCCATCAAACTTGGTGCTGTTACCCTTTCTAGTGCCTTTTTTTTTTTTTTTTTAAATTAAAAGCCTTGAATCGTATAGCTGCAGAGAGAGCGCTGCAGCTTGTGCCATGCAGGGACAGAGCCCTGCCAGCCAGCTGAGGGGGCCAAGGAGAGGGGGCCGCCTCCGCAGGGCAGCTTGTTTTTTATGGTAATAAATACAAAATTAGGAATAAAAGGCTCAAAGGGCAAACTGATGGCTCCTTGAGGCTCCAAGTACTAGCTCGTTGCCAGAGTTTTGCTGGGAACCCCTTAACACCCTCCCAAGGATCTCGGAAGCCAGCGTCTTACAGCCAGGTTTTTCCTCATGTGATACTGAAGGCGTTTGGGCTAAGCTCCAGCACAAGCACTGCCTCACAGGGATGGGGTGAGATGAGCAGCACAACACACATCTCACCAGGATAAAAACAACAAAACCGTGCAGTCTTGGCCCAGAAACTGCTCCTCCACCAGTCCCGTAGGTGTGAGCCTGGAGCCACAGCCACCTCCCGGCCCTCCCAGCACGCTGCCCGCTCTCCCTGTGCCACATCCCAGCACACATCCCACCACTTAACCCAGGCACAGAAAGGATTCACCCCCAGCACCACCTGCATGCGGGCAGCAAACCCCAACACAACGTGGCCGTGCCCCCACGTGAGGCTGCAGGAGCCCCGCAGGGAGCAGGGCCCCCACAGGAACACCACCATAAATCCTGGGCAGGGAGGAAGCAGCGAGGCAGGCAGGATCTGGCTTTGGTTATTTAAAGGCACAGCTCCAAGGTTTCGGATCCCAATTTAATAAGGGAAACTCCATTTGATGACATCCAGAAAGAAGCAGATGCTGTCAGTGCGCAGCCAACATGGCAGCACAGCCTCTGTGTCCGTGTGCCGGGTGCGCGCCAGGAGGACGAGGAGGACCTGAGGCAGCCCAACGCCCACAGCACGGGCACGTGGGGAGCCCAGGCTGCAGCCCCTCTGCCTGGTGGGTGGGCTCCAGGCTCTGACAAAAGCTCTTCTTCCCCTCAGTAGGGTTTTAGGCAGAGGGCCTTGTCATCCCCTGCTCTATTCCCAAAAACTCCCGTAGAAATGGCAGGTTTTGGGGAACTGCCACACGTGGTTTGACAGCCCTCGAGGTGGCACCCACCTGGGGGCTTGGGAGAGCAGGGCCAGGGACGGGCCTTAAACATCTCGAGAGAAAAATGGGGGGAAAAATCTATATTTGGCTCATTTAAATGACAAGGCCAAAGTGGAAGCCACCCCATACGTAAAGGATTCTTAATGCTAACCCTGCCTGACCACCAAACACCGGCCACACCGACCAACCGACCCGCTCCTGGCTGCCCAGCCCCGCGACCCGCCCCGCACCGTGCCGAGCCCAGCCCCGAGCCGCTCCGGAACGCCGCAGGGTAACGGCCGGGCCCAGACCCCCCCCAAGGCTTCCCCCGAGGCGCAGCGGGGCCGTGCTCGGCCCTCCCCGGGCTGGTTTCGCTGCCGCGGCCGGGCCCTGCGGGAGGCCCTGGCCCCTCGGCGGCACAAAGCGGCGGGAGCGAGCAGGCCGCGCCATGTGCCCGCGGCGGGAGGGCGGGCGGGCAGGCGGCGGGCCCGCGGCCGGCCCCGAACTGACCTTGGCGTCTCCGTTGCACAGCGCCATGGGGCCGGGGGGGGCCGGGCCGGAGCCGGGCCGGGGCCGGGCCGGGGGGGGCCGCGCGGAGCAGCCGCCGCCGAGCAGCGCCGAGCAGCGCCCGCCGCCACCGCCGCCCCGCCGGAAGGGGAGGGGCTACTGAGGGGCGGAACCGGAAGGGGCGGGACCAAAGGGAGGAGGAGGGGCTTAGCCAAGGGGGCGGAGCGGGGATGGATGGGGCGTGGCCTCCGCTGCCGCAGCGGACCAATGAGGTGCGGCCACGCGACCGGAAGGGGTGGGGCGAAGCCGGCGCGCGACTTCCTGTCAGTGGGGGTGAGGCGGCGGCGGCGGCAGCATCTCGGGGCTCCGCGCTCCGCTCCCGCCGGGCTGGGCCGGGCCATGTCGGCCAAGCAGGGCGGCCGGCAGCGCCGCCCCGGCAGCCACCCGCACTGCCTGGAGGCGCCGGCGCCGCTCGGGGCCGGCCTGGCGGGCGGGGAGGCCGAGGCGCTGCTGCTGCCGCCACCACCACCGCCGCCACCACCCGAGCTGGGCCCGGCGGCGCCGCGGGGGTGCCGCGCGGAGCTGGGCAGCGTGCTGCTGCTGCTGGCGCTGTACGTGCTGCAGGGCGTGCCGCTGGGGCTGGCGGGCAGCGTGCCGCTCATCCTGCAGAGCCGCAGCGCCAGCTACACGGAGCAGGCCTTCTTCAGCCTGGTGTTCTGGCCCTTCAGCCTCAAGCTGCTGTGGGCGCCGCTGGTGGACGCCGTGTACGTGAGGCGCTTCGGGCGCCGCAAGTCGTGGCTGGTGCCCACGCAGTACGTGCTGGGGCTCTTCATGATCGGGCTGTCCCGCCGCGTGGACGCGCTGCTGGGCGACGGGCAGGGCCGCGGCCCCGACGTGGTGGCTCTCACCGCCACCTTCTTCCTCTTCGAGTTCCTGGCGGCCACGCAGGACATCGCGGTGGACGGCTGGGCGCTCACCATGCTGTCCCGGGAGAACGTGGGCTACGCCTCCACCTGCAACTCGGTGGGCCAGACGGCCGGCTACTTCCTGGGCAACGTGCTCTTCCTCGCCCTCGAGTCGCCCTCCTTCTGCAACAAGTACCTGCGCTTCCAGCCCCAGCCCCGGGGCATCGTCACGCTCTCAGGTAGCGCCTGGGTGCCCCTGTGTGGCGGTAGGTAGGGGGTGCTCCCCGCCTCGGCCTGCGGCTCTGCCCTCCCCAGCTGTGGGGAGGCTGCTGGGGTCTGCTGCAAGTGCACTGGGCTCCCCCGGCCTGAAGGGTGAGGGAAATGTGCCTGGTCATTGGCTTGGCTGACCTAAGCACTTTGGAGAGAATTGATTTGTTTCTAAACGTTTCCTGGTTTAATGACCACGGAATAGGTTGCTGTTCTGAAAAACGTGGATGCTTTGTCTGCCTTTAAGGAGGCCCCTTGAGAATGTCTTCTCCTGGGAGAAAGAGAAGAGGAAATAAACTTTAAAAAGCCCTTCCCAAATGGTATGGCTCACAGAAGCAGAAATGACAAGCGTTCAGGCTTAGCCTCATTGCCAACCTCCAGAGGAAGGTCTTAATTAAGTAAACTAAGGGTTATCTTTTTCTTCAGTGAATTAAATGGAATCTGGTATTCCATCCTTTTCTAGCTGCCAGTCTAGGAGTGTTTTCTCATTTTTTCCTCGTAAAGTCTGGGTGGGGTTGGTGTTAGGTGTGTTGCCAGAAAGTCTGTGCGAAGGCTGTGTGTCTGTTGGGAGGCTGAGGTTAGGCAGCTCCGCTCGGGGAGGCTGTGACAAGCCAGCAACGTTTCTGGGGGCAGTTTCAGAGTGACCAGGCCCGTACTGAGAGTAAGTTCTCAAGGGTTTAGCTTCTCCCTCTCTTCCCATTGCCTTCCTGCTGGTGACTTTGTCTTGTCCATGTGTCAGCAGGCACGGGGCACTCCTCAAAGTAACCCCGCTGGCGTACTGCTTGCTTTTGCTTTCCCTGTTGTGCAGCTCAGCGGTGCTGGCGTGTCTCTTCCCTCTTGCTGCAGCAGCAAGCTGACGTCTTTTGCTGCTGATGCAACTTGGAAATCACTTGTGTGCTTAAAGAGGCTTCGCTTGTTCGCTTAGCTCCGCTCGCTGGGTTTTTGGTGGCTGGGTTTTTTTCAGTACTGCTTTTATAAATGGATTTCTTGCTATTCCAGGAATACTGCCTTATTAAAAAAAAAAAGAGTGAAAACCAAAAAATACCTACACAACCTGCTGAACTTGCGTGTTAAGTTGGGTGGAGTAAGGAGGGCAAATTACTCTGACACTACAGTTGCAGGATATGTTTTTTGGGGTAGCAAAACTGCCTTCAAGAAATTTCTTGTCCCTCGTCCACATGACGGTGTGCCACAGTTCCCGTGTCCTCACCTGTCCTGATGCAGCTGCAGCAGCGGTGCTGTGATGGTGACAGTGGCTCTCTGTCACACCAGGGAGAGCTGGTTTGGGCAGCCAGTGATCTTTGCTGTTCAAAAAATAATGGAAATAATGTGCACAGATGTGAGGCTGCTCATCAGAACAAATGCTGTCTTAGGATGTTCTCCAGGCTGAAGTTCTAGAGGAGGGGAAAAAAAATCAGTGGGCTTATTGTTTGTGCTAGCACGTATGTGAGCTTTGCTCTTTGCTGTTCAAAGGACGTTGTTTTTTTCTTTAAAAGCTGGCTGGCTGCGTCTTTTGGTCCCTGTCCAGTTTTTCGTGGAGTCACGTGAATGCCTGTGGTATGTGAAGGAAGAGGTGAGGTGTGACTGCAGGGGGAAGGTGCAACAAACGTGACCAGGCTGCTGAGGGGAGTGCTCTTTTTCCTAGGAGGAGATGTGGGGCTGCTTTATTACCTAAGGCTGTTGTGATGAAGCAGCTGTCCTGTCCCACGCCTCCTTGACATTTTTGCAGCCTGCTCTATTTGTGATGGAGCTCTGAAGTTTGCTTTGCCCCAGTTTGGAAGTTTGGCCATTTATTTTCCTGGTGGCAGAGACAAAACAGGGATGGGGCAGCACCGGTGGCACCAGAAGTGCTACAGAATGCCTGCTATTAAAAGAAACCCTCTTTAGTCTGGGCTCTTGTACGTGGCCTTTTTTAGCTATCTCAGCCCCTGCTGTATTGCATCCGACGGGGCTGGCCCGATGAGGAATGTCTGTGTGATGCTCAGAGCTGTTTCCATTCCACCTCGCACTGCGGGTGGCTCACTGCCGTGGTGGCACTTGGTGCTGTGGTCACGGTACTGCTCCTGCAGCAGGTCAGGCTCTGAGCCCTGCTGGTTGGCTCAGAAGATGCGCTCAGCGTTTCTTTTTTTAAACAGGGGAGGGAGCAATCTGACAGTGCTGGGTATGAGGCCTTCTCTCCTTCAAAGTACTTCTGAAAAGGGAAAAATAAGCAGCATGGAAGTGGCAGAAAATAATGTAAAATGCCACTTATTGTAAGTGACCTGGAAATGGTAGGAAATAGCTAAAGGAGCCTTCTAGATGTTCATCTGTGTTTGTGGTGCTTGCTTCCTGCAAACCCAAAGCAGCTAATCATTGACTAAACCTTTGCCCTGTCTTTGCCCTTTCACCAGCGCTCGCTGCTTGCTTTGTAGTCTTGAGGCTCCTGGGGCTGCTTCTGATCAGAAAGATAAAAGGGTACTTCTGTCATACCCCCTGCACGTTGCTGAATTCCTTCGTGCCTCTTTTGTAGGGCGGTCTCAGGCTTGCGTGCTCCCTAAGTCCCTGCCATAAAACGTGAGTGCTTTGCTGCCGCTGCCTCCCAGTGCGCTGTTCAGCAAACATTCTGCCTGCTCGATGTCCAGCAGTGAGGATAGCAAATATAACGTCCTCCTAAAACAGATCTGAGTGATGCTTTACTTAGTGACTGTGTAGGAGCTTTCATCGGGACTTCTTTGCACTCGTGTGGGTATCGGGCTTGGTTTCCTTCGGATGGTGGGTACGTGGAGCAGGGGGTCTGCAGAAGGGCTACAGGCAGCGATGGATCGCCTGGAGAGGGGTGAATGATTGCTTCCTCCAGAGTTTTTTCCCCATCCTGTCTTGTAACTACTCAGTGTGCCTTTTTCCTCCTTTATTCACTGTTAGTGGGTTTATTTGTGGCTCCTCAGAAAGCCCATTTCGATTTCTGTTCTCCAACACGCTCACTGGTGTTGCACAGACCTGGAGGGAAGTGCCCCAGGTTGCTGCTGTGTCTAAACCTCGAGCAAACGTGGCTATCGACTGAGGGGCAGGGAGGAGCCTTGTACGTAGCTGTCTGCTCCTGCTTTGGTTTTGGTGCTTGTTTTCAGGTGGGTCAATGAGTACGGGCTTTATTCAGACTTTTTCTATTAGGTTGCCCTTTGTGTTGTAGCAGAACAAGGACGTTTCAGTGAGCTGTTAATGAAACGCTTGTGGTCACTGATAGAATATTTTTTATTCCAGATTTCCTGTTTTTCTGGGGAGCCGTCTTCTTGGTTACTACTACGCTTGTTGCCCTCTTGAAAAAGGAAAACAAAGAATTAACACCAACAAAGGAAGAAACAAAAGGCATCACGGATACATACAAGCTGCTCTTCTCAATAATCAAGATGCCAGCAGTTCTCACGTTCTGCCTCCTGATTCTCACAGCAAAAGTAAGCAAACACGTATAGGAATTGTCAGGTATGAGAACCTGAAAGGTTGCTGAGTCCCCGTGATACAGCTTATTGTTTGCTTTTGCCAGTAGTTGCCATCAGTTCCAAATTTTGACATGAGATTTGGAAACACAATGGCTTGTATCGTTGAGTTAAGTAGCTTGGTACTACAGAAAGCATTAGCTGGAGCGCTTACATGTTTACAGAAGCATTAAAGAAAAGTTTGATTGCAATCTAACATTCATTTATTTTTAAACTTGCATCTTTACAGTTAGGCAGTTTGTGTAGGCTGCAGTTAAAAGCACAGAAAATGCTTCTTTTCACCTAAATCACGTTCCCAGAATCTGCAGCTCTGTACAAACCAGGTTTTCACGACATTCTGTTGGCAGTCATGGATACCAACGTGCCTTTAAGGTATGGGCATGAATACTGTTGCTGGGTGTGTTGTTCTTGGTGTAGTTCTGGCACTGATGACAAGAATAGTGTGCAAGTGTAGAACATGTTTCAGAACTGGTATGGAAATTAGAAACAAAAGTGAATTGTGCTCTCTCCATTTTCTCGGTGTACTTGATGCCAGGTAAACTGACCTTCTAGCCACACTGTCACTGCTTTCCCCAATTTATTTTGTTTAACTTCCATTGCAGGTTGGATTTTCAGCAGCAGATGCTGTAACGGGACTCAAACTGGTGGAAGAAGGAGTACCTAAGGAGCACCTAGCTCTGCTGGCGGTTCCAATGGTTCCTGTGCAGATAATATTGCCTCTGATTATCAGCAAGTACACAGCAGGCCCCCAGCCGCTGAACACCTTCTACAAAGCGATGCCTTTTAGGTAAAAACAAAAAATGGCTTTGTTGAAATACAGTAATTTGTGTACTCAGGTCAATTATAAGAATTCTTGCATAATTTCCAGACAGAAGAGCATGTCAATTTCTGTAGTAAGTTGAACTCTCTGGATCTTGTGCCTTGGAGATGATTCACGTGGTGACACAAGTCAAAGAGCACAGTGTGCAGTGGGTTTGAGATGCGTGTGCTGCAGCACAGAGCTGTACTTTCCTGCTCTTATTCAGTGTCAATAGTTCCTTATTCCTGAATTGTTCTGAGTAGATTTGGGACTGTCTCTCTAAAAATACGTGTACTGCCTAACGTGAGAGCGGCGGACTGCATCCACAAGTCTTTTGGAACATGTACTAGATGCATACTTTACTGAGATAAGAGAGAAAAAGGTGAATTAGGCAGATACAGATGAGACATCTTGTTTGTAAGTGGTTTATGTAGCACTTTGCCTGTGGAGTTCTGTGGGAACGTAAAGCCAATGAATCCAGCCAATTACTTTCTGCCGTTATTCGGTAGATGGGTGCTCTGTCTGTAACATTACTTAAATGTGCTCTTGCACAATGATGTATGCATTCATTTTTTTTAAAAAAAAAGGCCAGGTAAATTTTTGTCTATCTGAATTTGGTTGAATGTCTTGTGTGTTGCTCTCCACAACAAAAACTTTTGTGTGAGGGACGAGGAAGAAGCTGGAATAGGAGATCTGGCAGTGTTATGTTGATATGGAAGGAGGAGTTGCTTAGGTATATAATGTTTGCAATTTCAGTGCTTGTCAAATATTTAATACACAATTCTATAGAAGATAGAAATTGTTTTTGTCTAGTTAAAGCTATTTTAATATATCACGTGTACAAATGTCTGATAGTTGCTTTGTATTAAGGTACAGAAACACATGGACAAAATTACTTGAGTTACAAATTTTCTCTTATTCCTGCAGGTTACTGTTTGGGCTGGAATTTGCTTTTTTGGTATGGTGGACTCCTAAAGTGAAACACGAAGGAGGATTTCCTGTCTACTACTACGTTGTAGTATTGTTGAGTTATGCTTTACATCAGGTAACGTACACTGTGTGGGAAGCAAAGGGCAACAGGAGGGCATTTCACATCAGCTAGAGGACTGTAAATGCCAGTAACTGCTTTTGTTCCCAGCTACCCTAAATTCCGTTAACCTGTGGGCTTTCTCATCCCCTCCAGGTCACGCTGTATAGCATGTACGTTGCAATAATGGCTTTCAATGCCAAGGTTAGCGATCCGCTGATCGGAGGAACCTACATGACACTCCTCAACACGGTGTCCAACCTGGGCGGGAACTGGCCGTCCACGGTTGCGCTCTGGCTCGTTGATCCGCTCACGGTGAAGGAGTGCGCAGGGGCCCAGGGGCAGGCCTGCGGAACTCCAGCTGCTGCAGAAGTAAGTCTGGAGGCTGGGAAGGTCTCTGTACAGTTATGTCCAGGTGAAAAGGCTTTTCTTGGTATTTCTTTCCACCTTTGAAAACCTTCACGGAGCATAGTTTACACTTAAAAGAAAAATCCCAGTAATTAAACTTTTTTTCCTAACTGATAAAATTCAGCCTTTATCTGCGTGCTCTTCATAGCTAACATCTTTACCAAAAATTTGCAGTTGCAGAGTAATTGACCCTTTCTGTTCAGACTGGGATGGAAAGCTGGTGGCAGCAGCACTGGGTTGGTGCTGCACTCACTGCAGTACAGGGAGGTGCTGGTTGCATTCCTGATAAACTGTGCTCAGCCTGGAGCTGTGTGGTGAGGCGCTCTGTTCTTGGCAGGCTTTGTCCCCAGGTCCCTTCAGTTTTGTGGTAGTTCTTTTGTTCTGTCTGTCTTTCTGGTGGCTTCTGTCTTGATACCTTGATTCCTTCCACTGTGACGTTCCTTTGCTGTCTTTGATCTTTGCTTTCCATTTGAAACGGAGCGGTGTGACTGGCAGCCTTCCCGGTTCTGGGGAGCCCTGCAAAAGAGAACAGAGAACATATTGTGCTACTGCGCTCGGATCAAACAGCAGCACGCAGATCTGCCTGGAAAGCAGTGTTTCAAATTCACCTCCGCATGAGCAAATGCCAAATCTTAATGCAAAGATTTGGCAGGGTGGGAATGTTTGGGGGCTTTTTGCTGTGTGGTATTGTTTCCCTTACTTGTGATTGAGATTTCACTCCTGAATGCGTTTCTGTGTTTACGGAACTCTTCAGGATGCAGAGGTCCTCTGAACACAGTTCTAGAAGTCAAACTTGACTTGTTTGAACTGGAGTTGCAGTCTGGAGAAAATGCTTCCTCTTAACGTGTGCTGCTTCAGCAGGGGTCTCAACTTACCTCTGTGGGGCTGAAGTCCTTCCTCCTTCACCTCGCTCCTCCGATCTCCTTTCCACATCTTCCCTGTTGGAAATGTTCCACAGCCGCTCCCTTCTGACTGCTAATCTGATTTTGACGTCTCAGAATAATGCAAATGCTGGCAGAACCTCAATTCAGAGGATTGCTTTGTTTTGGGATTATGGTGGTATTGAAAGTTAAACAATAGCAAGAGCAATCACATGCCATACACCTACCCCTCAATTGCTTGAGTTTGCCTTTCAGTTCTGGGATTAAAGCACATCCCAGGCCTGTTCTTCCTCAGACATACACTGCAGGCAGCTGGCTTTGTGCTGGCTGTTTGCAGGTTCAGTGTGGTGAGATGCAGAGCTCTAACTTCTGAAGAAGCAATTCGGATGGACAGAAAACATCCTTTTTTATGGCATTAAGAGCAGGGATCGTACATCTGTTCTGTAGAGTTGGTTCCTTGGGCCAATATTTTCCATCTCCCAGAAGTTTATAACAGTTTTGTTACATTTCATACTAACAGTAAGCTCAAAAATCTCTTTTAATAACTATCATAAAGAAATAAAGTATGTTTAGACATGACCTTTAAAAGGCTGTTAAACTGTGAGTATCTAATGCCTACTTCTGGAAAGCCCGTGGTTCTGTTTTTCCCCGAAAATACTTAATGCCTCAACCTCTGCTTCTGCGTTGCAGCTCTGCACGAAAGCCGGCGGTTCCTGCGTTACTACCTTGGATGGTTACTACGTGGAATCTGTCATCTGTGTCATTCTGGGATTTGCCTGGTGGTTCCTATTCGGGCCCAAATTAAAAAAGCTGCAGGATGAAGGACAATCTTCGTGGAAGTGCAAGAGGACCAATTGATGTGATTGCAATATTGGACGGACTAGCCAGGTTATTTTAGTTTTATTACAGAGACACATCCCATAACCAATGAACAGAATATAGGTATTTTAAATGCCAAGTTGCTGGAAAAAACGGGTGGCTGAGACAGTGGTATGTGCGTGTGATACCACTCGCCTTCCCAACATGAGAACACAAGTTGAGACACTAATGAGAAACGGCACCTGTGTGCTACGTGTCCCCATGCTCTAGCTTCAGAGCCATGGCTTCTGGTACAACCAACATCCAAACTTTCCATATAGTAACTGTGGAAAAGCTGCTTGTGCCACGTTTACCTAAACAGCAGCATTGTTAGCTGAGTTCCAACTGTTGATTCCTGAACAGGCAGCTCTGGCACGGGCAGCTGACCTGGGGAAGGATGTGAAAGGCATTTTGACTTGTAGGTGAAGCACATTGTACTGCGGAATTCATCGTGGGAAGAGAAATGTAAAATGTCCGTGGGCTTTGTTTCTTCTCGCTTCCTGGACTGTAACCACATTTCAAAGGATGAAATAATGTTTCAGAGATTCTTTTAAATGTATTTTCAGGCTTTTATAAGCTTTAAAGATTTATAAGAGAATATTTTTATAAACAAAGCTACATTTAATTTATTTCCTCTGTTTCAAAGCATTTTGATTTACATTCAGGATTCTTTCTTGAGGAAAAATTGATGTAAAGGAGGACTTAAGAGTAACGCACAATACTCTGAGCATTGAGTCCTGGAGGTGTAAACTGCGTAGTGTAGCAGCTAGCGCACAAAACACAGGCGTTGGAAGGAGAAGGCATGCGGTCCTTCTGGAGGCAGATGTTATTTGATGGAATGAAGTGGTAGTGCTGGTTCCTCTGTCGCTAAAATTTGAACAGATTAAAGATCAGTGTGGGGAAAAAATGCCTCTCTTCCCAGCCAGGGGTAAGAAAAGAAGATCAGTGCCTTTGAAAGTGCTCTGGTGATGACAGACTTGCCAAATTCCCAGTGAGTTGATGTACAACTTGCTGTTGTGTAATGCAAACGAGTTACATCCTGTGGTAGAGCTGCTATAGAAATTTATTTCTGATCCTTGATAGTGGAAATTTCCTGTTGCATTTATCAAGAATGACTTCATTCCTGAGTGCCTTAGTGATGTACAGCAAGTACACTGTACGCCTAGAGAAGGGGCACTTGTATATTGGTGGATGTATATTGTACATCATTATTAAAAATATATATGAAAATACCTTTGAAAGGTACGTGATTTTCTTTTCAGTTCTCTATTTCTTGCCTTGTCAATACTGGAAGTATTGCACCATGACCTTCATGTTCCTAGCTCCTGGTGAGACAGGTTGTGGGGCTTTTGTTACTGTATGCTTCAGCAAAAGGTAAATTATACCAGGGGCAGGCTGCAGGGGAGATCACATGTGCACAAAGCATCTGTGTGACCTTGCGAGTAAGAAGGTGCTGGAAGAGGACAGTGACCAAATGCTGCTTGGCTACTGGAGCCTGTTTGGCTCTTCTGTCCCTCCTCAAAGCTTCAGCCTTCAGCAGCTGGTAGGAAGCCAAGCCCAGGGCTGCAGCACCCAGCTGATTTCCCCCGGCTGTGATCTGTGGTCCAGCAGCAGCACACTCAGTTTGTTTCAAGGACAGCAGGATTAGCAAATCAAGCTGAATAAAAGCACAGTTTTTACTCCCCAGGCTAAGTCTTCCAACTATGTCTCTGCATAAGCACAAGAGGAATCTGAGACTTGTAGTCAGAAGTGGGTGTATCTTTGCTACCAGATTCAGTGTGCATGAGGCATTTTGGATCTGTTGGTGCTATAACAAGGAGCTGCGTATTTCCATAGCAGCTTGTCCAGACCTGGAGTGTTTTTTCAACCTCTGGCTTTGAGGGAGATCTTCTAGGAAATTAAATTCATAAATGTTTTACAGTTGGCTTTTACTTTGCAATTTTGTTTCAATATTTCTGAAGGTGCCAGTGTAACCTGTTCTAATAAAAATGCCTTGGGAATTGCTGAAGTGATACATGAAATGATTTCAACAGCAACATTAAACTCCAATTGTTACATGAAATACAGCATAAGTAATTCTCTTCCTCTTTCAAACTGGAGAAGGAACCAAGGGACAGCATATTTCTTTTATTTTTGTCACAACCATGCCAGTTCATCAGCAGATTGCTGAAAGGCTCCAGTAATCTTTCAGGTTCACTACTGCTTTTTCTTAAATGGTTTCTTTTGGCAATTAGAATTATTATAGTCTTTAACATTAAAAAAAATAAAATAAAATCTCCTGCTTGCGAGTCTCTTTTTGAAATGGGAAATGGAGGAAAATGACCAAGCACTGCTCTAGTCTTGATTTGCTGCAGGGATGGAGTGGGCCTGGTGGGGAGTCAGGGGTGGCTTCTTCCTAGCAAAAGACAAATGGCAGAAATGGTTTTTTTTGTAGGTAAATGGTTTGTCCTGGTTTAGATTTGTGAGCAGGATCACTGTGCAGTGAGCCAGGTCCTGGGGGAGAGGCAGAGAACAGCTCGCCCCTGCAGTGCTGTTGGACACAGCCGTGATGTTGGGCTGGGTTTGCCATGCAGGAAGCCATCCTCCCCTGCTCCTGTGAGTGTGATTTGGTGGTGTTCCCTGAGACTTGCCAAAGGAACAACCGCCTGCTCCAAAATTCGGTTCTGTACTTGTGGTGCCCACACTGAGCAGGTCCAGGGCACAGAGTAAGGTTCTCCACAGCGGCAGGGACTGGAGCAAGTTTTTGCAGGCAGCAGCACTGTGTGACTCCTCCGGCACCTCTCCAAACGAGACGATGCGTGTAAAATATACACTCCTTAGCGAAAAATAACACTACTTAGCAAAATATGCTGTGTAAGATATACCCTCCTTAGCAAAGTCAGCAGCACGCTTCCAAATTATTAAGAACTGTGTGAGTATGTTTTTGCTGAAAGCCAGATTTTGCACTATTTCTGCATTTATTACTTAATCTTAAAGTGTTCATGCTTAGGAAATAAACCAAACCTAACAGCTTCACCACGTAACTTGAAGAAAATTATAGTGGTAATATTTATTTATTCAAGACACCTCACAGCCAGTGGCTTAAGAATTGTTTTAATTGCAGCATCAGGTAAAATTTTTTGATTCAAGCAGGTTTCTTTTGGTGCTGTGGGTTATGAATTCCTAACGGGGTCTGTGGCTGTCCTGAAATCCTGAGCCGTGGCTGACACTGACGTTATTTGATGTACCTCCTGCTCTCACAGAAACCTTGAACTGGGCTTTAATGGAAGTGAAAGGTTTGTATAAACACAGCCTGGATATAACTTTGTATTATGTGCAATTATTTCCTTGCACTGTGTGTTTTGAAGGCCGTGTAGGTGCATTGCACAGCCAGGCGATGGTTCAGCTGAGGGAAACGGCTCAGGGTGGTCTGGTAAGGAACTGTGTTTGTTAGGTTGGGACGAAGGTGGGGAAACAAATAAACAGCAGCGATAAACACGGGGACGTTCTCAGGCTGTTTTCTGACAGCACCACGAGCAAGGATGTGGCTGACGAGCCTGAATTCACCAGAATTCACCTCAGAATTCACCTCAATTCCCCGTCCTGTTCAGCCGCGTAGGGCTGCTCGGAGGCTCACCCCAAGGGCCCTACATTGGGGTTCCCGTTCGGGAAGCTGCCGGCTCCTCAGCTTCCCCCCGGTCCCCACAGTCCCCCCCCGGTCCCCTCAGTCCTCCCGGTCCCCCCCACGGTCCCCTCAGCCCCGCGGTGCCGGCGGGCCCCGTGCGGGGGCGCTGCGGGCGCTGTGGCGGCCATGGCGGAGCGGCGGAGCGCGGCGGGAGAGGCCCTGGGCCGGGTGTCCGAGTGGGCGGACGGGCACCTGGGGCTGCTGCGGGTAACGGCGCCGGGGCAGGGACCGGGGCAGGGGCAGGGGCCGGGGCAGGGGTCGGCCCCCGCTGATCCTCGCTGTCCTCTTCCCCGCAGAGCCTCAGCGCCGGGCTGGCGGCGGCCGGGCTGCTGCTGCTGGCCAGGAGCGTGCGGCTGGTGAGTGCGGCCAAAGGGCTCCCCTCAAAGGACTCCCCCCAAAAGACTCCCCCCAAAGGGCTCCCCCCTGGTTTTTAGCTCCTCAAGTCGCTTTCCTCAGTGCTGTATCCCCAGAGGCACCCCCTGTGGCGCAGTTAACCCATAGTTCAACCGCAGCTGAAGCGGAGGTGGTTTCCCCGCGTCCTTGCTCCCTAGTCCCACGAGCAGAGCTGCTTTTCACATATTTTTAAGCATAAACCCTTCACTCCTCGAAGCAGTCGGCTCCTGGCACCCAGTAACGCCCCGCTGCGAGCTCCAGGCACGGCCACGGCTCCGTAAGGGGTCACTGCCGCCTGCCCCCCTCACAGCCTGCTGTGAGAGGACGTCTGTCTGGCGTTTTTATTTTAAAATAATCCCAAAAAGCCCAAATCACACACACTGCTGGATTGCCTACACGGCAGTTGTGTCCCTGCTGTGTTGTTCCTGTGCGGCTGCTGCTGGCCAAGCCTGTGGTGCCGCTGCCCTTTGTTTTCCCGTGTGCTCGTATAACTCCCTCCTCTGAGTCCTCCCGTTATCAAGGGATGTGGTATCGAATTTAGTCATCGTGTGATCTTTCCAAAGGTGCACACCTGCTTTTGTCCCTCTCCTCTTTGCCTCCCTTATCAAAGTCTGTGTTGTTGCGTCTGTCTGCGCTGCTCTGCCTTTGTTTTCGGTGTGTCTGTTCTTTGCCAGTGTCTTCAAACACGCCCTTCTTGGCTGGCTTTCACCCCTCTTCTAGCACCGTTCAGGCCACTTTTAAAACACTCTTTTCATGGTGAATCAAGTTAACTTCAGTGCGTCTCAATATAAAACATCAGTTTCCATTCTTTCTCTCAGCCTGCTCTCATGCTCATCCCTAATGTTGCACATGCTGTAAAACAGGGAGCATTCCTGAGGGGCTGGAAAAGCAGGCTGGAAGGGGTTCTACAGCTGATTGCTGTCTAAGAAATTAGTTGTCCATGCTGTGTAATAGTAGAGCTGTATATGGTTTGATGTAATGTGATTGAAACTGCTCTTTCTCTATATATATTTTAAACCGTGTCTCATTCTTCTTTCCATCAATAGACAACAAAGTTCACAAACGCTGTGGATATACCTGTGGAGTTTATTGAAAAGAATGTCAAATTGCGGGGAAAAATCCATCACGTAACGGAGAAAGGTCTGGAAGTTGAACACATTCCCATTACCATTCCTATTGTTACATCAATACAGAGAAAATGTAAGTAAAAGTAGATGAAAAACAAGGACAGGAATGAAATGACATTAACAGTGTTGTCCACTAGACAAGCACAAATACTGCGACACCAGAAGTATTTGCTTTTTTAAATTTTATTTTAAACAATACTCTTGGAAGTAGATGGGCAGAAATCAGCGGGACATCAGGTGCGCTGTCTTTGTACAGAGCAGGCAGGCAGGGGCAAGCTGTGAGGAAGGCTAAGGTTACACTTCTGGCGCTGCCTTCTGATCCTTCCATGCTTCACAGATGTGAAAAAGGAATAAGAAAGGCTGAGAAGAGAGCTGCAGGAGGAGCCTGCCAATACAGTGTTTTATTACGGTGATCTGTTTCTGGCAGCAAAAACCCAAGCACAGAGGCAGTTAATTTGTTTGTGTAGCTGCTCTCATTACTGGCAAAAAAAAAAAAAAAAAAAAATCAACAATTCTATTGCAATTATGCTTTTGTTCAGAGATGAAAATCAGACAGCTCCGTATAGCAGGGGGGTTTTGCCCTGGCTTCTCAGAAGCTGTGGGTCAGGTCTGTGAGCACAGTCACGTGCCCGCTTTGCAAATACGTGGAGGCGCTAATTCTTCTCCTCATGTTTCTGCCCTTTCAGATAAAATACTGGTGACTGATAATGAAAGTACTTCTTTCTACTTGTATGCAGAATAAAACAAAATAGCTTATATCATTTCTGAAATCTTGAATTTATTTATTTTTTTTTACTGAAGGAGGAATTAGATCAAATTCTTAGTTGCAAGTCAGTAGTGCTTCAGGGAACTAAAAGGGATTTATTTATTTTTTTTAAGTCCATAAACTTGTTAATGATAACTGGGGGTCTGTGCAAAGTATGAAATTTCACTTGACTGTGGCATTCAATAAAAAAAAAGTTCTCTTTATCTATATCCAGGGCAATCCAAAGGTCTTTTGCTGGTAAGACTTGCTGGAGTGGAGCTGGCTCCAAGTGGCATGGTCTGGTTACAGAAAGAGTTGAAACCCTCACAAATGGTATGGTTCCAGCTTCTTGGAAGGGAGGACTTGGCACTTGAGTGCCGTGTTTTAGTAAATAAGGTAAATATAGTAACAAAAAATGACTTTAATCTGCAGTTTTAAGTTTGGCTGTGATTAATCAGTCAGTACACGAGAATGTTATTAGTTATTGTAAATTATCTTTACAGGAATTTTAAATAAAGTTTTATTAAGTCAGACTCCAAACCAAGTACTTTTGTAGACTGCTCAGTCTGGTAGTGCTAGGCTATATGGTGTCGTTCTGATTAGCTTAATGTTTAATCCATCAAATGTTTTCTTATAGATTACTTGTGCTAGTAGTACGTTTCCAAAGTCGGCTGTGTTTCTTTTAACTCTTTCTGCATGAGGGTAGATTCAGCCAGAAGTGAAGCTTGGACCTCAGCGGGAACACATTAAAGGGTAAGTGAATATTGTATTTACTGTGCCTTTTTGTAGGGTCGCTTTCTCAGTGTGTGCTTAAATGAGGAGATCTTGAGACAAGGGCTCGGCAGAACAGCACGTATCGAAGGACTACATCACGACTCTCGCCTCTACTGGAAACTTCACAAAAGACTGCTTCGAGCAGAGTTAAAGGCCTTGAAGAAAAATAAAGGAATATGGCAAGAAGAAAGCTTCTCTGAAAGAGTTAGAGACCGTATAAGCAACAATAAATGTGTACAGACATTGAAACAGTTTGTGAACTGGTTAAGAAGCTATATTTAAAGGCTGAATGGGAGACTTGTCTAGAGGGATGCCACGTATCTGTGTTACATACTTTATGTAAAATATAAATTTGTGAT